GCCAGCACAGCCCGGCACCCTGGCCGGGGCCCGACCCCCGTGCTGCCGACTGTCCCCGCCGCCCCGCTGCTCAGTGCCATCGGGAGAGTGAGGGGCCACCTTTTCTGTTTCAGACAGATCTCGCGGGAGGACAAGAACTGGGAGACCAACATCCAGGAGCTGCAGAGGAAGGTGCGAGGCGCCTGGCTCCGCTCGGGGTGGGGGTGGGGGTGGGGGGTCGAGCCCTCCGCCTCGTGAGAGGCTGCGCCGAGTCACCGCCCATCTCGCTCCCGGGGACGAGAGTGTTTTCCAGGGGCGAGAGGGGGCAGCACCTTCCACGCTCGGCTGTGCGCCCACAAACTGAAGGCTAAGCTCCATGTTCCCTCTGTGACCGAGGTCCCTGTGCCCCTTCGTTTGGGTGGGCCGGTGCCGGTGGCCCCTGAGCCCAAAGGCAGGTCCATGGGGCCCATTTCTCAGATGACAGACGCCCGGGTCGGGTTGGCTTCGGGGACGGAGGGGGCGTGTGCTCCGTCCACGGCTCTGACTCGAGCTGAGGCTCCTTCGGGTGACTCTGCTCATCTTCCTGCCCCAGTGGATGCCCTCGGCCCACCTAAGGACACATCGCGTCCCTCTCCTGGCCCAGAGGGCTCCACTCCGGGTCCGGGAGGACTCACCGTGGGTCTGTGGGGTTCCAGTCCACGCACTTCCCTCCCAGGAGAGGCTGCTCGCCTGCTCTGGTTGTCGACTTGTGCCAGGAACATATTGACCTTGGGCGACGGGAATGCAGCCGGGGGCGCCCTGGGGTTGTGTGTTCTCTGGGGGTCTGGTCTGTGGTTCCTGCTCCCAGGCTGTGTCCCACCCTGACCCTCAGGGTCAGGGAAGGAGAGCGCGGCCTTGACACTCCTGGGCCCAGGTGTGTGCCGACCCTGCCTGCCTTGCCAGACCGTGTCGCCCCCGGTGTGAGCCGGGCAGAGTGTGGCCCTGTCCCTGGGCGGCAGCGGTGAGTTCTCGCCTGTCTCTGTCTGCCTCGTTCTAATGCTGGTAGACACAGACGCAGACAGACAGACAGACAGACAGACAGACGTGTGGTGGGGCCTGGGACACAGCACGGTCCTCGGTGCACACTGGAACGCGGGTCACAGGGGCCCGGCTGGGTGGGGCAGGATGACGCGGTGACATCTGTGTATGTTCGGGGACCTCGTCCTCGCCCCAGCCCCATATGGCCAGGGCCCCCGGAGCTTGGGGGACATCCCGTCTGGCTCTGTGACTCAGGCCTGCCAGCCGTAGGTCTAAGACTCGGAGCTAACGGAGGCGCTTCAGGCAGTGCGCCTCCCATCCCACTGGGCCAGCTCCTTCCAAGGTCCCCGTGAGCATCCCGTGAGGGCCCAGCGCGGACCCTCAGCAGGATCCGTGTCGTTGCAAGGACGCGTTAAGCACCTGTGTCGCGGGAGGGGGCGGACCTGAGGACACCTCCAGGCCCGAAGACCCGTCCCTGGAGGCCCCGTGCCCTCTCCCCAGTGGCTCTGCCACCGTCTCACCTGATGCTGGCAGTGGGGCCGGGAACAGCTCAACGCGTTCGCACCGCACCTTAAACTTCCCGGTTCACTTTTCACGAAGTTCGAATGCCCGGATCCGGTCCGCACGGTTCCCTGTGGCATTTCCCCGCCGTCGCCTCTCAGGCTAGAGTCGCGTGTGCTTCACCCTAAGGAGAGGGTGCGGGGTCCGGTCGCGTCGGCGGTGGGGGCTCATGGCGGGCACGGAAGGCGACTTTCTCCCACAGCACAGGGTCTCCGACGGCGTCCTCCTCGCCAAGTGCCTGCTGGTGCTGGGGCTCGTCATCCTCATGTTCTTCTTCAGCTCGTTCGTCCCCGGCGTTCATCTCGGTCTCGGTGAGTCCCTCTGTCGCTGGGTCCCGGTCGGAAGGGAGCCTGTCTGCACGGCCTCGGCTTTGTCTCCTGGGGGAGGGGGACGCATGCCCGGCCCCGCGGTCTCGGCACCCTGGTTCCCAGCCCCTCCCGGGCCCCGCGTCAGAAGGGACACGGAGCGCAGCAGGGTCACCACCCCTGTCCCACGCGGGAACCACAGCTCAGTCTTCCCGGAGGAGAGACGCGACCCTGCAGTGTGTGCCACCGACCTGCCGATGACTCGAGGGACCGTGAGAGGGCCACGTGGCCCC